AACAGAAGCCCTGAAATCCCGCCTGAAAGCCCTGTAAGGTTCATTAAGCTGCAGTATTTTCCTTGTATGTCCCAACGCTGGGTTCCATCAGTGTAAAAGCGCGGATTTGAACAAACTTCTGTTTGAATGATGAACCGCCGTGAGGTCGGGATCCGACCTCGTATCCTCCATCAGAATTTCTCGAACTTTTTTCTCGGCGTGGACAGTGAACGACTTATTGCAAAAATGTCTGGCATTTTCAAGAATGGGAGAAAATCTTTGCTCTGCGAAAAATGCGCCATGAAAATTAACCGTCTCAAGTACTGTGAAGAAGGATTGAACGGCTTTTGCTCACTGCTTATAGATGGGCGCTGTGGGCTTTAATAAACATGAATGGAAAGATTCATCATTGGTTTTTGGAGTCATTTTATGCGGATGTGTGATCCATTTACTAGAGAATCTCTAGATTTTCTGCGAGTATGACAAGGCAATCATTTCGGAGAGTTTTGCGTCTACGCTGTAGTGCAGTACGCATTTCGAAGCGCTTTACAGATGTATACATGTAGCTTTGTATTTCCGGGAAACCATGGCTGGAAACAGCGTCATAAATCAAATTTTGGTAGTACTGTAATCACACAGACAGAACGGAATGTTGGATGTAATAGTGTGAAGTGGCGATTGGAATGAGGTTCGAGATATTGCTTCAGAGAAAAGTCTGCCATATTTCCGTTTGGCGAAATGAGAAACATGCGGTGTCTGAGAAATGAATGTGCATTCACCAACTCGCAATCAAATCTCAAGATCTTTAAAACTTTTACATATGATAATTGAAATGAAAACTGGTTACGTACTTCAGTTTACGACTCAGCAGGGGATATTTTTGGTGATGGCCGCAATAATGGGGACTTTGATGATTCATTAGGAAAAAAATGTTCTGCTGAAAACATTTTGAAATGTGCCTCAATTGCCGGAATCATTCAAAGATCCGGCGGAATGCAAAACAGAATTTTGTCTCTAGTTGGCAAGATTTCTAAAATTGAGGAAGTTTTAATGTGAAAAACCAAGCATTTTTCTGTTTTTCTACGCTGATGGCTCTGAGCAGAGTTCTTCTTCCCGAACTCTAGAAAGGGCAGCTGTCATACATGCATCAAAAGTGTAAAAAATCCGAATATTATGTCAAATGTCTCTTCCAACACTTGCACAGAAGTTTCTTGAATATCCGATATGACGTCCAAACTTCACGTACGGACTAAAAATTTCTGGATCAAGAAATGTAAAAAAGCAAAAACAGAACCGATTAGTCCACTCATGTCAGCCGATGACGATGATTTCCTCGATTCACCCGTTTTTCCAGATGATTCCGGAGAACATTAGTCATTCCTATATATACGGTGTAATTTTATTTCATGGTATATGAAGACTGGAGCGAATGAGCTCGCATCAGTCCACTTTTACGTTACCCTGTTCATTTGGCACGTTATCTGAACGGAATGAGCCGTTGAAAGAAATGATCACAGAGAACCCACCGAGAAAAACAAAACAAAAACAAAAAACCAAACCCACAGATGACGGAACTTTGTAGAGTACATCTCTCTGCTGGTGAAGCGATTCGCTCGGAAAAGAACCTAATCATGTAGCTGCAATCAGACTAGCTTTGCCGATGACTTGGGGAAATAACTGCCCTCAAACGTGGCTCTCCTCACTGAACCAAGTTCATAGTTTTTTATAAAACATATCATGGCTGGTAAAATTAATCCCCATTTGGTTAAATAAAAAGATTGCATAGCCGCATGCGTTTCGAAGCATATCAGCATCCCATTAGCATCCTGAAAGAATCTACTTGAAATACAACAGCTGCCTGAAAGAGACAGCAAGGCAATTCCATGCATATCCTTCGTTACCATCAAAGCATAAAATCTACATTTATGAATTTACATATCTGTCTCGAAAACTCGGAACAGAGTCGGAAGATATTTGAAATACTACTTTGAGAAGGAATAAGAGTAAGCAAAAAATTGAATGGACCCGAAAATGCATCCTTGGAAAAAAAGCGTGATCAGTGAAAATGTGCATCCGTCAAAATATATAAGAGCAGTTGAAAGATGCCATTTTGAAATATTTGCTCACGTGTCGACTGAAAACTTATGGAACACTCACTGAAAAATGCACTTCATTCATGTTGATCATGAGTGAGCAAATTTTTGCCAGCATTAAATTCTTTTCACGACCCTCCCTACAGTTTATTTTACTCCGTTGGTAACATTTAGTCTCGTAATCTGCAACTATCATTTCTGTTATGTGTAGAATATGAATAATCATAAAGAGCTTTAATCTGTTGGAATACTTGCCGAAATTGAGTTTAAAAGCGCCATCGACGTAAATCCCTGCCAGCAATGATATGCTAAACAGACTTCCCTCTTATTGGCAAATTTTCGATTCTGTTTTCGAATTATCTATTTCATATTTTGAGTTCCTCAATTTTCCAGAGCAATGCCGGCTAATTGAATATAGCGTTCTTTCATTTATTTTTGTGTGCGATACATTCATTTGTAAGAAGTATTTTCCGCCAAGGAGTGAGGATGATGCCTCCTGAATATCATTACTGGATCACTGTAAATTTTGAAAATGCAAGTGGAAAATGCAAGAAGGAAAATATTGAATAATGGCTTTCATGTTAAAAATGTAACATGTGAAGGGAATATCCTTCCCCACGTACATACTAATTTTGAATTGACTATGTATGATGTCATTCTCAGCACAAAGATGAAAGTACACGATATTTATACACCTTGTGATGTTTTGTTTCATGGTGATGAAAGCAGCGATGAGATTTATTTTTGTGAATTATGCATGGGATTACTGGTTGATTCTTACACTGCTACATGCTCTTCCCTCTGCTTTAGAATGGAATTTTTCTCATGACGAGCTGCCCAAGTTCCATGCTCTTCTGTCTCCCTATTTTCGTCGGTGTGGTCTTCTGTCCATATTATCTTCTGAACCTCATCATCCTTTGTCGCGAGTTATTTCAACCAATAGCCTCTTAATCCCGCAGTTGAAACGACTTTTTTATGAATCAGATTAATATTAGGATAAGCCCTTCATTTGAACAATGCTCGGTTGATGAATTATTGAATCAAGGACTGCGAGTAGATCACGACGTTCCCCGTCATCATCTCTGCCAAGTCACTCGGATCACATGTACTCAGTTCTTCCAATCAACGGCAGAGAGAACACTCAATTTACGAACATGTCCTTTTGTATGAGTCTCTCCCTCTACACGATATGGAATCCGTCGGAGGAAAAAGGGTCCATTAATGAAGCAGCGACTGACGAAGCAAGCGGTGTCTATACCGGGGCTGGCTTCATCATCCCCTGCATTTCCCAGGGCAACGGTTGGTGACCCAGCGCGAACACGTCGACACCCGACCTTGGTGTCTCTCAACATCCGAAACCCCCGTGCACCGTTCGTGTGTGCATCATGAGTCGGGAACATGAATCATGCCCGTGGACAAGAATCCTTTTCGCCCGACATCGACCCCCATACAAACGTATATACTCACCCCCGAATTCGGGAATGGAATCCCACCGGAAATATTCCGACATCGAGCGAATGGAAATGACCGCGAACCCTACGACTCCTGCGCGATGAGACAAGACGCAAAATGATTCCCCCGAGTATTGATTGCATTTTCCAGCGTCGAATCATCTTGTTGAAAAGTTATTGATTGAATTGCAAGCATCGTATTCACACGTGTTCGCTCGCGTAACATTTCATCAGCGATAAGTTGCATGAAAGTGTCACGTGCACGTCATATATAAACAAATAGAAACACGCAAAGCTCCATTCGCCACGTTTCCGCCAATGCTCTTCGCAAAAAAGTATCCCAATAATCCTGACATGTGTTGTGCGAATGGATGCGCTATTCGTTGTTTAGTCCTGGCACACAGCTGTCACTGCGCATTTCCTGTCATTGGAAGCAGCAGACCCAATTTTTTTGTTGTATTTATTCATCAATTCTTTCTCGACTTTAAAAAGCAGGATGACAAAAATATCAGAAAGAGAGCTTGATTTGCGTCCTGACGTCCATAATTGAAAGTCGCTCAAAAGCACGCATGGGATTTCTCATTTTAGAAATTTATTGAATCGGCAGAAATGATTCCGAAAGCACCGGAGTGTCTTGGAATGATGAGGCATTGTAACTAAAACCTTTGTTTGCGGAATTCACTTTAAAATATACCGATTAATACAATATACTGCAATACAATATAATTTCGGTGAATTTGAAAGAGGATAATAAATGTTGAATGCATGCTGACGAATATTAAAGTTTGAAAAATCTCAAAGATCGATGAGTTGAGGCAACGTTTTTCTCAGAGGTGTATTTTGATCGACAGAAAAGGAAGCTTCGTGATGAGGCATCGGAACTGAAACTATTATATATAATTTAAATAAATTCCCTTTAAATAAACCGAGTAAAAATAATATACAGTAGTTCTGAAGAAATTTAAATGGAATAATAAATGTTGATGAAATACTGGGAAAGTGTGAGGAAATCTCGAATATCGAATTGAAGCAGCGCTTTCCACGGAACTTCACTGTATTATGATTGACAGAAAATGAAGCTACGTTCATCAAGCTTAATCATTCAAGAACATAGTCTGCATAGTTCATCATCATAAATTATTTCCGACGACCAAACATCCCGACCAGTCAGTTTTGCATAGGGCAAAGACCTCGGCGGTACTCTTAAGCATGCCCTGGGAGTGGGTACAGTCATGTCTGGCCGAACCAGGGGATGAAAAATGATGTACATTATTCCTTCGAACAATGCAGTATTACTATGATAACCTCATGACGATGAACGACATTATTGTCGCATGTTTACTACGAGAAAATTATTTTTAGACCTTAGGGATGCGACGGCGACAATGCTTTCGGAATTTAATTACTCGTGTGACAAGGGATACTGGGATTGAAGGGAAAATTACGCTTTCTAGGCTCGGAGCATAATTTCCGGACGATGCAGCCAGCCGGGGCGCCACGGCTCCTCAGCAACGACGATCACTCGTTGGCAACGCTGCGTCGTTACAAGATCTTGAAGAGGGCGAAAGTCGTGTCACTCAAGATGACCATGCTTGTGGTACTTGGGTTCCTCGTTTGTTGGACGCCGTACTACATCGTGATGATGGTGTTCATCTTTTGGAAGCCTTCTGATGAAGTGAGCTGTAATTTGATTACCCTGATTAAAAAAAAAACAATTGCAGACAAAATTGAATCTAGCATCATCATAGATGATGATTGAATGTCCTCTCACCAAGAATGCTAGACGAATCTCTCCAAGTTTTCAAAAGGAAAAAAAAACCGCAACTTTGAACTATGCGTGTGATTTCGCGTTAATTGCCTCTCCTTATCGCCTGATTCCTAATAAAATTACAATTCCAAGTCTGCGTAAAATAAAATAAAAAATTGCGTCGGGATTTAAATCCTAACTTTGCGATGGAAATAGCCTTCTGCGAATTTAAGGTTTGCCTGTTATCAGAAATTGCATTACAACTCCGAAAGTCGCGTAAACAATTATTCGTCTCTTGAACTTGAAAGCCGTCCTAATTTGAATGCGGATTAGAAAATGCTTGGAAGCTAGGGAAACGGGTTTGCGGCTCACATTTATTTCAACCACAATGAATTGGTTTTTAAGAAATGGATTTTTTTCCTCTCAGAAAATAGATCAGAACCGCACCGGTGTCAACATGTTTTCGATATCTGTCCTCAGCTGCAAAATAAGGGGACCAATTTCCGTTGTACTGTAGGTTATTTTTCAACTCCCAAGACACAACACAACTACCATTAACAGGTTTATGTCGAAGATGACTGAGGAAGGATGAAAGAACCCCCGCTCTGGGTTCCATCTGATTACTGCGACGTTTGCGGTTCACAGAATGCATCTTAAATGATGATTTCGGGATCGCAATCCAGCCGGAAATTCTTGTTGATGCGTTTCGTCGAGCGGCAGTGTCGTATAGGGTCTTTTCTCCGCAGCAATAAAATTTCGAAGACAACTATAGTGTTTCAGACACAAGATTTCATAACGTGCATGCACGGCGGGAAAAGTAATATTCTCGGGATATACATTGTAACGACATATGATGGAGCTTAGAAAAACAATTTTTTTTTCAGAAAACACATTCTTTGGCTCAAGAAAATATTCAGCCATGTTCGGCATATTTTTTGTATTTTCTTGTTTTATGGCAAAAGTAACCCTGGCAGCCTTCTGCTCTGAAATTGACATGGCAATACAATAATTCCGAAGGTTGCATCCAGGTTTTCCAGGGTAATCCCTCAATTTTCATTTGCAGCCGCCACATTCTTATCCCAAGTGGCGACTGTTAAGGCGGCTGATTATTAAAGCACCCAATTAATGGCGGCAACCCTTGGAGTTATAACGCCTCTTTAATTTCAAGAATACTGAAAGGAAAGCTGGACTACACCATAAAATCTGAAAGAAGGGCGCCTCATCTTTTGACTTACGAACAGAAAGCAGAAAAGGATGACATTTTTCAAAATATTGAGAAAAATGTGCCAAACAAGGCTGAATTTTTCTTGTGCCAAAAGATGCCTTTTTCTGAACATTAGTGGTTTTTCGGCCACTTTCAATTTCTAGTCCCGAGAACTTTTGATTGACCCCTCGTGCTGCGTTTCCCTGTCGTACGTGGATGAGATTCCCGTCATAGGATGGTGATCAAATCCTAAAGCCCACTTTTATCATGACTTCACCGACACACCTTTTTTTGCTCAGCTAACGCTTTAAATTTTTTTTCATATGCGGAAAATCATTTAGGAAGAAAATGCACAATGCATGCTTTCGATTCGTGCTGCGGCAGAAGAAGGGCCTTGGAGAATGCTCTCCAGGGACTGCTTCCTGATCACTCCAGAGCACTTTTTGTATTTTTGCGGAACCAGGCCGTGATATTCGTCTTTTGTTGATTCCAGGTGGCGTACCTATTGAGCGAGTGCATCTTCTTTTTCGGGATGTCAAACAGTCTGGTGAACCCGTTGATCTACGGCCTCTTCCACATCTGGAAGAAGCCGAAGCAGCCGACCCCTAGCACCCGTCGTTGTCGCCACGTGCCACAGACGAGCCCACACCGGCTGACGTTCAACGACGGCCCGGGTCGACGGCAAGCCGACGGCAATCGGTCGCAAACTGCCCGCTTCCGGCCGGCCGTCGTTCTGCCAACTTTCCGGTAAAGCCTCTCCACTTGTCTGACGATTCAATAAGGCCATTCGCACAGCAACAAATGGACATTTGTGATTAATATGTGAAAGCCAAGAAACAAAATTTTACATTTCCATCAGTAGACACTGAGGGAAATGCCGCATTCACTCAAGTACCATGCGCATGTTCCTTCTTCCGAAGTTAGCAGCAAAAATCTGTTTCCCAATGATGGACAGGTGAAAATTTTTCAAGATGTCATGAGTTCACTTGGGAGAAATTTGAAATCTTCAGCAACTGTCTCAGGGATAAACAATTTTTAAAAATTAAAGCAACTGAATAATTGTATGGGAGATTAAGAAGTAAAACGAAGAAGAGTAAAAAAAAAATTGGATTCTGGTCTAAAATCAAGATCCTAGCTCTGGAGTGTATTCTTGCAATATGCAAATGTTTCCGGGACTCAAAAGTGACATTCGTCTCTTGATCGGGGATAGATTTTTCTATAATTTTAGCCTTAAAAATGAAGATGCGCGTTTTATTCGAGGACAAGTGGTACTTGAGCGAATGCGGTTTTGCGGATCTAAATTTCGGTATATTTTGCGAACTTGAACAATTGAACTGACGGAGTCGGACTGACGCTGTTTTGGCTTTTCAAGAATGTTAATGCTTAATGTTTAGAAAGAGAAAGGTTGAGTAACAGGAATATTGCATTACTCCACGTGTTCGCTGGATTTGAGAAAATATTGTGTTCAAAGCAGAAGGATTGTACAATAGTTTGAGAGGAAGAAACCGAGTCCTCGGAAGCGTACAAAAGTATGCACAAAACTCTCTTTTGTTTCTTGAATTTGAAATGTTCTGTCAAGATGAAAATCTCAAACGTGGGTTTGTCGTAGAATTGTCAGCTTGCCGCTGCGTAAGTTGTCTTCACTTCAGTTGGCGTTGGTCAATTCTTCGGATAATTTTGTTCGGGTCAAAGGTTTACAAGCTGTGCTAAAAATATTTTTTATATTCCTTTTGAGGTTAATTAAGTTATTAGTTAACTCGTATGTTTTTAAACACAATTAAAAGAAGAATAAGCCAGTTCGTTAAAGCCTCTCAGGCCAGGAAAGGCGCTGCACCGTTGGTACTTTAACAGATGTCACACCCACAACAGGTGGTTCGGAAACTCTTGCCTACTTTCTATGTGTCCCAAATCCCAATTAACAAGAAGACTGAAAAGCCCTGGGTTTAAAGTGCAAATTTCCAACACGCATTTTTTTATTTAAAAAATAAATAACTCGGTGGAAGCATTCGAGATGCCCCTGGAATTGAATCCGAGGGAGTACTTCCGAAATTCGTTTTCTTCGCATTGTTACCGCTTTGAATTGCCAAAATCTTCCTGCATTATAGCCGTAAAATCCTGCACAGGTTTCCTCCAGACACATAGAGGCGGGAAAATTGCCTTCTTGAACCCCAGTGAGCGCATAGACTTGCATCACACTTTTCTGAAGTGGAAGCCCCATTTTAAAATCCGGCTTTCACGGGGTTGATCGTTTTTCCTTTTCAAAATGAGTTTTTATATAATGGTTCAAATATTCTAGGGAATACTCTGGAATGACAATACATATGGTGAGAATACTGACTGATCGGGTTACTCGATTCTCCACATCCTGCCAGAGCAGAAAAGGAGAGTATTGCATGCAATTCTCTTCGAGCTTCCCTTTTCTATCGATTTGTACCACTATTGTCTGTGGAAAAAGAGAGATAAGCGGAAATATGGAAAAACATCCACAAATCTTCACTACATTTTTCGAAAGAATATAGTAATATAAGAACGATTAAGCATTAAATTCTGTCCTCAATGAATTGGGGAAATAAGATTCTGACGCGCAAGGAAACAAAGTAAATATTATGAATTATTAAATGCCTCTTCAAGCCTCAAAGCAATTTTTCCTAGATACTTTAATGCACAATTAAATATTTACAGCATATCCCTCGAAGTGAATTTGTTTAGTGCTGAGCTCTAATAAAAGCTAAGGAAAAAACAAGGACGAAAAAGCTTGCAATTGCTATAAAAAGAAAGGGTAAACGAATTATTCGAAACGTCAGAAGACCTCATCCCGTGCGGAAGACGACATTCATTTTCTTTATAAAAAGACACGAACTCTCCATGCGCAGTCTGAAGAATAACGGGACGATATAAAGTCCAATGATAATTAAAACACCTAAATCACTCCCAAGGAGACAGTAAATTTGTGGAGAGAATATATATGTTCCATCAGGTGGATGTTTCAAACCAGATTATCTTCCATACCTTGCCGTTATAGCACGGGGGCTCAAGCTTCTTCGAAGCCATACACTGCAAAAAAAGCAAGCCATTTCGTTTAGATTACGATGACCGCCCGCGGGAATCCTTTGATCGCCTTTTTGCTCGGATTGGACCGTCGCAAAACATTGCATAAGAACTTATTTTTAGACGAGGTATTGTAATGTTCTCATTTATCGGGACTTTCTCTTCATATATTGAATAAAACTCTGCCTACGGGCGAAGCATCCTACGCAAAATCAACAAGAGAGCCGGAAGAAATGTCGAGCCGCCTTTTTATCCCAAGTATTCTGATTCTCCGTCAGCAAGTTTCATCAGACAAACCGTTTTGTTTACCGAACGAAGATTTTCTCTCCAAGGCATGTTTTCTTTTCACGTTCATTCATCTCGACTTCACCCGGCACGTGTACCTTGAAAATATATTTTTTTTATATGCGAGACTTCTGCTTGAGCACAGAAGTACACACGAATGCGACTCAGCGTTAAATTCATGTGAACGCATCGTCAGTTTTCAAGTAACCAAAAATGAAATTTGATTAGATATACGTACACCCGCTATTCGAAAGCAAATCTTGTGGTCTTACTTTAGAACAATTTAGACTTCTAGAGAATTCCGATTCTGTGATTATGCGAATGCAGAACGCAAGAAGCATTTCAGGGATATCAGCTTTTTCATGTGATGAATTGACATATAAGCCAACAGACGCTTCCAGAGAGAATAATCTTGATTGGATCTAAAGACAGAAGCCACTATTTACAAGAAAACTAATTACACGGGAACTACTCCAAGAGGAATTCATTTCCTCATCGAGACTAGACACAAATGCCAAAAAGACAGATGTATGCCAATCAAAGCCGAAAGGCGATAGGTTACATTGTTTCGGAAACATTCGCGAATATATAGTCATTCTTACTCTATGTGGGTGGGTTTCTTCCAGGATTCCGCATTATTCTAGAGGCTTATCTCATTGGGGCACACGATGAAAAGTGCTGATCTAACAAACATCTAAAATTTTCTGACCTGCATTCGGAAGAACCATGCGCCATTTACAGACACTTGGATTTTTAGTCCACATCGTGAAACCGCAATTCCTCGTTCTGAATGATTATCTCGAGATTATTTTCAAATTATTATTCTAAATGACATCATGAACAATATTTCCAGTTTCCTAAATACTGTAGTTCCCCAATAAAATGACAAGAGACACAGTATTGCATCTACCTTATGGCTCAGGAACCGGAGTTTCTTCTGGCTGACTGCTGGTTTTTGCTGAGCTCCATTACAATTGACAGTAACTAAACATTTTGGACACGAGCTTGAGAACTGATTTATTATCTAGAAAAAAGCGGGAGATTTCTGTAATATATCTTTTAAAATTTCTTGAAAAGCTCAAAGACTTTCGAAGTGCCCAACAAGGACATGCGTAAAACGCGTGTTCCGTCTTTTAAGGTCGAATTTATTGCTGAGTGGCAGCTCTTTTTGTGAAGGAGCTGATATTTGAAAAAAAAAATTGAAAACAGATTAGAACGTCATCGATAAATGCAAGGAAAATACTTGATTTTTCTGCGATAATTATTTGTGGACAACCGTGAGGGTTTCTATTATATCCTTCCTAGATTCTGTATTGTTCGAACCTATATTCTGTTTCGAATCTTATTTCCGGCGCTTCCATCCATTTGTTTCCGTGTGTGAATATCCAAAAAAGTAAAAGCAATGATACTCTCGTTTACTCCATAATATTTGCGCTAAATGAAAGAAGGATGAATTTTCCTGTGTGCTCGGGTACACGTGTTCAGGGTTCCAAACATGTGTCTGCAGGTTCCGCTTTGATCTGTCGCCAGCAGAAAATAAAACAAGAATACAGCAGAGTTCCCATGGGCATCATGGAATATTCAAGTAAAGAAATCGTAATCGTTCTACTAATAAAACCTCCTCGATTCTCCGATTTATTATATGTACTGGTTCAACATAACCTAATGTAAAATACAGTAATCCGCAAATCTGTCCGCGCCAAAATAGCTTTACTCTAATGGAAACGTTCAAAATGTGAATTCGAGATTCGAAGTACACCTCGAACAGACAGAATGGATCGTTAAAGAATGCAAGAGGAACAGTTGAGGTGAATTTTCCTTCTCTTTTCGCGATTTCTGGTGGGAAAGGTTCAAGGGATGTTCTGAGACGCGCAGATATTATACAATATGGAAATCAGGAGCATAGCTGAATTCTTCAGGTTTGGAAACCGGCTCAAGCTGAACTTGACACGCTGATCATAATTTGAAGCTCGGTAGCTATTGATCAATATTAAAGACATCATTATGTTTCCGTTATTCAACAAGCACTACCTAAGTAATACCTAAGTAATACCTGTTTCCTATAGTTCCATAAAAAATAAATAAAGTGATGCTTTCTAATCCTCAGAAAATATTTGAAAAATATTCAAGGGCAATTCCGAGTGCAAGACGCATTTTCCATGAAATCGTGCCTCATGATAATCAGGAAATTAATCTTGGCGATTGTTTGTATAACGAACTGACCATTTAACCTATCAGAAAAAAATGGAGGAATCATATTACAGGTACTGTATCATGTTTGAATTCCTCAAAAATTAAACTGCATCCCAAATTAATACAACCCAGGGTTAATTTTTTTATAATAGACTATCGAAAAAAGGTATCTGAGTTTAAAAACTCGCAGATGCTATTTAAACTAGTCAAAATATTCACGAGCAA